ACTAGCTATAGTTTTAGATGAGTGCTGGGGATTTAATTTAATCAGAAGCCGCATTCTGCCAAATGCACTCTCCTCACATTCCAAGTATGATCCTGTGGCCTGGACCCCCAGCCTGTGATGGCGTCTAGGGATCAGCCTGCCTGTTTGGGTGGGCGACTAAACAGGGCAGTCCTCTGTCTGAGTCATTACATTAATTTCTGGCCTCCTGGAAGAAGCAGTTACTTATGATCTAAGCACTCCTGCCTTTTAGTTTCAAGGACTCCAAAGTCTCTGGGGACAATGGGGATTCCAATTCCCAAAAAGGAAGGAGTGCCGCATGGCAGGTGAGAAGAGAGGAAAGATGGCCAGCAGAGACTCACCCCAGAGACTGAGGGAAGGGGCTGCTGGGTGGGGGGCAGGCTGCAACTGCCAAGTCCCTGAAGGGAGGTTCAGAGAGCAGGAAGCAGATGCCCAGGGCAGACAACCTACTCTGTGTTGGATCAGGAACCATGTGGAGCTTAGGGGCTGGGTTAGGGGGCTCCTCTTCTATACACACAGCCCCGATCTAGCTTCCTGTTCTCTCTATACAGTATGGACTTCCCACCATGACTATTTCCCTCCCTAGAAGCTGGTAGAGGACTAGCCCTGTGGCCAGGTTCTGTTCCACAACAGGGCAAGCCTAAAGGGAGAGTGGAAATTCTGGGAAAGTAAGAGAAACCTAGGAAGAGACTGCCTTCTTCATCCCCCACTGTCAGGTCTGGAAGGGATGCCTGGACTGCAGCAGCCATATTGTGACCATGAGGGAAGACTGATAGACCAGGACAGAATGAAAGGGACATGGGGTCTGTGATGCCATAATTGAGCTGCTCAATCAGCCAGCCCCAGAGCCACCTACTCTTAAGACTCCTCACGATTATCTGAGAGACATTTCCTTTCTCATTTAAACAGGTGGAGCCAAGGTTTCCTGTTATCTGGTCAAAATCATGAAAATAAGAGGTACAATGTTTTAGTTCCATTTTGCAGATGAAAAAAGTGAGACCCAAAGAAGTTAACTGCTGTGCCTTGAAGGTACACAGTATGGATATGATGCCACCAGGATTCAAACCTCAACCCAGCCTGTTTTATTATAGGATGAACTTTCTAGTAGGCTTTCTTGGGGGTTGCTGGGGTTGGAACCTACAAAATTCTTACAAAACCTAGAATTCGTAAGTAAGCCTTCTACCACTGAGCCATATCTCTAGACCCAGGTAGGAAATTTTTTTCACAAATTTGATATACTTGCGCCTTTCTGAGCATGACTGAATTTCACAGCAACAGGTATACCAACTTCCTATAGATGGGCACAGGTGGGGTCTGCAGGGCTCAGGTTGGGGTTGGCTCAGCACCTCCAGGTCTTTAGTGACTTGGGGGGGTGCTCCTTGTTCCCATTATCCTCAGTGGGGGATACTCTCCTGGATGGCACAGATCTACCACTGGCTGGTACTAAGAAGGTGTGTGGAAACTGGAATCGGCCACCAGGGGCTGCTGTGGCCACAGAAGCAGGGGTCTCTTCAGAAGATGTCTTGAACCTGGGGACAGAGTCAGGAAGAGCCTATGTGTGGGCTCTATCAGGTGTGCCTGACTCTGAGGGAGAACCTTCTGGAGGGTTGAGGGTTGAATTGCTGTGTGACCTCAGGCAAGTTGCCTCTGTCTCTGAACCTCAGTTTATTTTCTCCTTCTCAAAATTGGGGTACTCAGTATGGTGTGGTAGGACACACCTGTAATTGCAGCACTTGGGAGGCTGAGTCAAGGGGATTTTGAGTTCTAGGCCAGCCTATGTATTGAGATCCTGTCTCAAACAAACAGGTACTCAGAGTAGCCTCCCTCCCTCCTGTCTTTCACTTCCTTTGAACCTAGGTCAACACGGTGGACACAGACTTAGTGGGACACTGTGGCCCTAGAAATGAGGCCCAGTGACTCCTTGTCAGTTTGGATTCAAGTCTTTCTCAGTCACAGTTCATTTTGAAGCCTGTGTTATAGCTGGGGAAAAGGAGGCCCAGGGAGAAGGAACTTGCTCAGCTTCCTCATCACAATATAAACAGCATTACCTGAATTAAACAGCATTACCCATTTGTTCCCTGAGATCTTAACAGACAAAAACAAGAACTTAGGTTAAAATGTTGGAGATATTGCTAAATGGTTAAAGCCTAAAGGGTACCTTGTCAGCAGGACTTTTCAGACCCTTTAATATGCTAATGTGATTTGTACATTTCCAGGCTTGGGTGTATGCTTTTTTTTTTCTTTTTTTTTTTTGCAGTGTCAGGTGGAACATAGTCTCCTGCATGCTAGACAAGCCCTGCACCTGAGCAGCAACCCACATCCTGCTTCTCGAAGTCTAAGTTGAACCATGACATGTAGGGGCACGTGTACTGGTATGTCTTGTATTGTAGCTGGGGAAACTGAGGCCAGAAACAAGGGACCTGATCACTGAGTTCACTCACAAGTACAAGAGTGAAGAGGTCTGGGGGTGATGAACACTTGCCCTGCCATTGGCAAGGAGTCAGCTCTGTTGGATTCTCCACCTGCCAAAGCCCTGGTACCACCTCTCTCTTGAGACAGATCTGGAAGTTGAGGCTGGAGGGTGAGAGTGGTCACACAGTTGCCTATGGTCACCTATGCTGTTGCGGGGGGGCACTGAGGACAATTTCTTTGTCCTGTCTGCCCATCACTCTGAAGTGAGCTGGCAGTGATATTTTTTATTTTTACGTGTGTGCGGAGGTCAGACAAGGGCATTGGATACCCTGGAACTGGAGTTATACATGGTTGTTAGCCATCATGTGGGTGCTGGGAACTGAACTCAGGTCCTCTGCAAGAGCAGTCAGTGCTCTCAACCGCTGAGCCATCTCTCCAGCTCCTTATTTTTGAATGAGGGTCCTGATGTCCAGGCTGGCCTTAAATTCATGATCCTCATCTCAGCAGGACTCTGCCTAGTCCTCTGCCTCAGTACTGGGCTACAGGTAGGTGTGTACACCTGGCTTCAAGAGGTCAGATGGTGATAATGGTTTGAGAAAATGCAGAGCCTCTTGGGCTGGTGTCACCTGAGCCCCCTCTAGACCCCTGGCAGCCCAGATCTCTATAAATTGCATAGGTCATCTCTTGGTTATTCTGACACTGTGGTAGGGAGTAGCAGTGCTCCACACCTGACCATCATATTGGTGGTTGGGAGCTCAAGATAGCTCCAGGGAGAGGAAGTCCCACTTACTAGAACAGAGTACTAGAGCCATAGTTGGGATAGGTGGAGGCTGCTTCTCTCTTAGGCCACCCAGCATGCTGCAGCCCCACAGCCTGACAGAGCAGGCCCATCCCTGGCTGAGGTTCTGGAGGCAAATAGGAGACATCCATTTGCTGGGTTTACTTCTACCTAACAGTTAAGAGCATAGATCCAACAGGCCTGTGCCCTCACCAGCCTCAGCTGAGGGACTATGGGCAGTGACTATGCCAGGAACCTCATGAACCTCACGTATAACCAGAGCTCCAAGGACGAAGTTGCTTAGTGGTGGATCTGTCTGCAGTGGCTGCGAGTCTGTTACAATCCAGCATGCTGGTGGCCTTACCTAGCCTACCTCTGTCCAGGTGGGGTCCAGGGTGACCATGTAGGCAAGCAGAGGGCAGTACCACTGCATCCAAAACAGCCCTCAGATCAGCCAGCTCAGCTCCCAGGCCCAAGAAGCGACCTGGCCACAGAGCAGAACCTATGCTGGGATCCTGGGCTCAGACCCATGCTCTGTCAGGTGCCCCTGCAGCCAAACCTCTGCAGAGGATGCGGGGTGCATTGCCTACCCTTCACATGTAGGCGCGTGGCCCACTGTGTAGCTTGTCTCCCCTGTCTCCTGTCAGTGGTCCTGGTGCCTTGCTTTGCACCACAGTGTGCCAGCCCTTAGGGAAAGATTGCTTAGGGTCACTCGGTGTAGCAGTGTGTGCTAAGACCCTGTCTGTTGTGTTTGCCCTGGCTCTGCGTGTCCCACTGGCTTTGGTGTTAGGTGGTGTAAGGCTCCTTGTGGATGGTCCCCAGGGCCTATGTCCCCTTGCGGGAAATGGGTGTGATTCATGACCCACTTGATAGTGTTGCTATCAGACAGCATCAGCATTGTGCCACCTGCTAATTCTCTACTATCTAGAATTCCATCCTGGCTGCCAACCCCAGCTTCGCCCCTGCAGCTTGGTCTCCTGTACCTTACAGGCCAGCAGATATGCAGGGCTCATGGATTCCACTAGAAAGGACCTGGCCTTGCCCACATGTGGCGGTGTTCAGCTTCCTCTAAGTGGACTCGGGGGTCCAGGCTGAAGGGGACAAATGTCCCCATTTCTTCCTTGGCCCTCACCACACTGCCAGGGCTCTGCATGTGGAAAAGGAGGGCTGTCTCAGAATGGGGGTCCTGTTTCCCCTGGCCCAGATGTCAGGCTAATGGGAAGGAGAGATGGGCAGAAGCACTGGTGGAGACAGAGCATGAGGACGCCTCCATGCTTGGGGTTGGACTCCTACACCCCAAGAGCTCACAGTGTGACATCAGGCAGGTAACTTCCCAACTTGAAAGGGTGTTGGGAGTCTTTGGCAGCTGCCTGGCAAATGGACTCCTGGGAACAGGCTTGGGGCAGGGTTGGGTGCCCCCACTGGGTGTCTGGCCCGGACAATGGCAAGCCTGTCCCCAGCTACACTGCCATTATTTAAGCCAGGAGGATGGCAAACAGGAGCTGGGGAGAGATTTGTGATGGGGGAGGGGCTTCCAGAGCTCCCCAGCTCTATAAAGAGCCACAGGGGCTCAGATTTTATTCTGATCCTGTTCTGTAGAGGGACCACTGGCCATTACCATTGGTCACCAGCCTGTGAGGTAACATACAAGGCAGAGGAGAGCACCCAGTCTGAAACCCAGCGCGGAGTGAGTGCCCAGCACACCACAGGGCCCAGGCTCCCTGGGGTGCCCTCCAGTGGATTCCGGAGGGAGGGAGAGCAGCTTCACAGCAAGGCGACAGCTGAGACACCATCTGTTTTCTTTCTCTTTGTTTTTAAAACAATATAGTGCAGACTGCACTTCTCACAGTAGAATATAATGGTCAATTTTAGTATAAAAAAAAACATTCTCAGAGATTTGTAAATGCACTTAGTGCTTGAACAGGCCTTGGAGAGATACAGTACCGCTTCCGGAGTGCCGGGGGGAGGGAGGCAGGACTGGGGGACTGCAGGCCTTGGCGACCTCCTAGGCTTAATCTCTCCCCAAAGTAATGTAGGTCAGGTCTGAGAGGGGGTGCAGAAAAGTTGGATTGGGTATCCCAATTACAGCCAGTAGGTCATCCCCTCCTTGGTTCCCGGGAGACCCACACACACCAAGGCAAGGCAGAGTCCTTCTGGATGGGGTCCCTGGTGAGCCTCTGTAATATTTTTGTGCGAAAAGGAAAATGGGAACCCTTCCTCAAGATTCAGAAAACTGTAATAAATATACAAGTCTACGATGCAAGTGGTCTCCCTGGACAAGGTGCCCTTGTGCAGTGCACACTCTGCAACTGTTCCCAGCAGCCCTATAAGATGTAGGGAATGGAGAAGAGGTTGGTCTAGGGTGGACAGAACAAGGATGCGCCATAACTTGTTACAAAGGAATGGGGAGGGGAGGAGTCAGAGGACCAGGGGAGACAGGGAGTCTTGGGGCCTCTAGGAATCTGGGGTCACAGAGTAGTCTTTACCTGGATTAGTTGGTGGGGGGATACTTTGGACCTAGGGACTTCCTACAGACCCCTTTTGCTCCTTTCTGGGAGACTGCGGGATTGTGGGTAGAGACCCACTATGTGACACTCACCCTGAATGGAGCACCCCGTTTCCTCCTGTGTTTCCCCCCAGCCTGAGGGCCTTTGCTGGAGACTAATAGGAGTACCCAGAGCTGTTCCTGTTTTCAAAGGTTTCTCTGCCTGCCTAGATGGGGGAAGGACAGGCCCCTCAAGTTACTGCCAGTCCTCCCCAGGTCCTGGGGCAGTGGGTGTGGGGAGGAGCCTTGGTATATAAGGTCACCCTGCCCTATCATCCCCCCCCGTCCCCCAAGTGAGGCAGCAGCCAGCCTGGCTTCCCTGTGGGCATCATGGGCACAGGGCAGGTGGGCTACCCCTGCTTAGTTTCCCACTCTGTGCTGCAGCCTGTCTTCTGTCAGCACCCTGTCCGTGTGTCCAGGCATCTGCCGTGTAGACCTTATCTGTAGACAGGGAGGCGAATGTGGGCATGCTGGTGGTCCAGCAGCCGGGGTACGGCCACAGTCTCATAGCCTTTGCCCAGCATTTGCTCTTTAATGCAGGGAGGCCGGATGTCATTGATGAGATACTCAAGGGACTGTAGGCTGCTGCTCAGCACAGATGTGTTGCACACACTCTTGCTTGTCAGGCCAGAGAGTGTGTCTGCAGGAGGCCCAGCTAGCTCCCGGGTGGCTCCTGGCCCTAGCTCAGTCACCACAGCTGCCGCTGGGTTGTAGCAGTCGCTGGTGGGAGTCACCAGCACACTGTTCCAGGGGGCAGCAAAGTATTGGCCCACAGTGAAGCTGGTGGGCAGCCCCATACCACAATTGAGGGGTGACCCGCTGGCTCTCTCATAAGCCCGCCCACCACAAGCCTCCGGGGACTTGCTGGGCACAGTGCTACCACTGTAAGCTCGCAGTGGCTGGGGTGGGGGTGGTGGCGGCTTCTGTGGCCACAGCAGGTAATCCAGGCCACCTTCTGCATACCCTGCTGGCTTGGTGGCTCCAGCCAGTGTCAGGGCTGCTGTGGCTCCCTGACCTAGTTCTGTGCCCTTCCGGCAATCTGGCAGACCAGCTGTGGCTGAGTAAGTCATACCTGGGAAGCTGGGCACTGGGCCGTGCTTGGCCGGGCTGGGCTGGGGCACAGCCACACCCTGGCAGGCGGTGGGTGCAGCACCTGGGGCCTGGCATTGCTGGTTGAGCTGGTAGAGGATGCTGTGGATGGATGGCAGGTTGGAGGGGGGGAGGGGCAGGCCCCGGCCTGGCAGAGGGATTACAGAGGTGGCAGTGGCAGCTGCAGGCAGGCTGGGTGGCGGGGCTGGTGCCTCAGGTGGCTTGGGGTAGGCCAAGGGTCCCAGGGCACTGGGTGCAGGGTAGGGGGCGATGCCCACCTGCACAGTGGCTGGTGACAGTTTAGTCCGCCTGCCCTCAGCACTCTTGAGCACACTCTTGGTGGGTCCAACAGGTGCAGCCACACTGGAGGAGACTGCAGCTTTAACAATGGCCAGCAAGCCCTGATAGCCAGCAGTGTGCTGTGGGTAGGGGCTGTACCGCTGGCCACTGGTGTCATAGCCGTTGACCGTGCGGCTCAGGTGTTTGTGCTGTGGGACTCGGATGTTGGAGGGGAAGATCTTGATAGACAGCGGGCTGTTGGCCACCTTCTCGGCATAAGCATCCAGCTCGGCTGGGCTCGGGTAGCGGGAGGAATGCATAGAGCTGGCCACCGACTCACCTGTGGGAACAAAGGCACAGGTGAGTGTCAAGCAGGGCCATAGCCCCTTGCTCTCTACCAGGGCTCTGGGAGCTGCCCGGTCCTGCCCTTGCTCACTGCTCCTCTATTACCTCCTCCCATGGTTCCAACTTCAGGACCAAAGTTTAAGATTCAGGGGAAAGTGCACACATTACCAGCACAATGAATCTACTCAGGAACAAGGTTGGGAAACAAGTCTTGCCAGTCCTTGGCATGGCCAAGTTTACCCACCACCCTTTTTTTTTTTTTTTTTTTTTGAGACAGTGTCCTGTGTATCCTAAGTTGGCTTCAAGCTATGTAGCCAAGAATGACTTTGAACTTCCAATTCTTCTGCCCCCATCAACTGAGCTACATCCTCAGCCTCACCATGTCCACTTCTGTTCACAGGGACTAGCTGTACCAGTGTTCTCTGTAGGGTGAGATGGAACCTGGCACTAGGTGCTCCTTGTTTGGCCTGTGTGTGACATTCATCTAGACTGTACAACTTACCCACTTGTAGGTGGGTGCAACTGGTTTTGCCATGGGGTAGGTGAGTTGCTGGTGGGAAGATCCCCTTCCAGGTCTTTGAGCAATTCTGGACTACAGCACATACCATAGCCTCCCCTGAGGCAGAGGGGTGTGGAGTGTGGTCAGGAGGGGCAGTGTGAGGCGAATGGGAATACCTGGGGGCTGGCATTGGCACTGGCAGTGTCTAAGTGATACCTGGTTATGTGGGCTGTGAAGCCCTGGGCATGTTGATAGCCTGGCTGAGCCTCAGTTTCCTGATCTGTAGAATGGGAATAATTTGGTGCTGGGGGTGGTGGTGGTGGTGACCTCAGTGGTGCTGAGGAAATCATAACTCTGGGGGACGTAGGATGTAGATGAGGGGTTTTCACCATGCTTGAGCCTTAGTTTCCTCATCTGTAAAGTGAGGTGATATAGCTCCTAAGGTTACCTCCTAGGATGCCTGTGAGAGTTTAGCCAGTCTTGTGTGGTGGGCAGCACTAGAGGAGATTAGTGCTGTCTTAAGTGTGCTTACATCTTTCTGTTGGTGCTGGGCAGGGCCCCAACAGAGACAAACATGCCTGCAGCTCCTTTGTACAGGGGGCTGGCCTGCTGGAAGCCTCCTGCCTGATTCTCTCACCTGATGCTCTCAGAACCTTGCCTTGCACTGCCTCAGTTCACAGTTGGAGTGATTGTGCTCTGTGTTGGGGGAGAAGCTAGGCAGCAGGTTCAGCTTTCCTGGAAGGAACTACCACCAGAGGTACTAGGAGAGGTAAGGCCAATGCAGGCACTCTGCAAACAGCTGAGGATATTTTTGTGATGGCTAGGGGGTGGGTGCACATCTCACAGAGCACAGGTTGGGCCTGCCAGGAACGGTTCAGCCCCAAGGGTCAGCAGGGTCCAGGTGCAGAAGTCTCCCCTCCCCCAAGGTACTAAACAACTAGAGGGACTGTAGAGTAAGGAGGGGCAGCAGAACAGAGGGAGTTGGTAATAGCATCACATGGGGGAGCATCCCTCAATTCCTCAAGCCTAGCCTGGACCCAGCAGGTAAGTCTACCCTGTCCCTGCTGGGGGCAGCCCCCTCTTAAGTAGCCTAAAATAAACTCAGTGTGGAGAATGGAAACGTCACTTTGGCCAACGGGGAATCTTTCTCCGAGATTGGATTTAAACTACATTATACAAGCAATTTCATGGGCACTTGGCACTGCTTTGAGAGTCCCACAAAAAAGGGACCAGTTCTCCATTTGCCAGCCATAAATCAGCAGTTGCTATAATGAGCACAAGAATGTCACTTTTATGCAATTTTACAGATGAACAAAACTGGGGAAATTAGCTGTGGAAACCTACCAGACTCAGCAAAAGCAGCTGCTGGGGGGAAAAAATGTGTATTTTTGTTCCTCTTAAACTCTCTTTCCAAGCGAGTTTCTGCCATTGTGGTGTGAAAACTCATTTGTCCTCAGCGTTGCTCCTTCATTTGGAGTTTATCTTGAGTATCCAATGAGCTACCAACTGTGAAAATGATTAAATCTACAAAATCTATCTAATGGATAAATTAGGTGTTCGAAACCTTATGGAAAGGGATGGAAATGCCTGTTCCCTGTCCCCAGTTACCAAAGGAAGGCATACTTTGCCGCATCTGGTCAGTGGAGTCACAGGTGGTAGCTCTCGTGGGAGTAGAACGTGGCAGGACACAGCCAGACTCCGTGGTTGCTGCCACTGCTTCCCAGGTGGATGGCTTGTGTTTGGAGGGCCTGGCCATCTTCGGGGGGGCAGCAACCCCACACTGCAGGTAAGGATGCAGGCTGTGACACATGGCAGCCTCCCCCTCCCCAGTGACTGCCTGGTACTCCAGGTCCCTGGGTTCCATACCAGGCTGGGCTGAACTGTGTAATCAGTAAGGCCTTTGGGAGTGTGGCTTGCTGCAGGCTCGCTGTCCTACAGCTTGTATTCTGGGATAAGGCCAATCACATGAGGAACCTTGGAAAAGCCTACAGGGATGAAGAGAAGTCTTGCCAGTGGCCATTTAAGACTTGTTGGAAACACAGTCCAGCCAGGCCGCACTTTCAGAGGAGACCGAAGCCCTGGCCAGGCCAACATCCCCACTACAGACCCTGAGGGCCCCTGAACAGAAACACCCAGCTGAGCTGCTCCCAGGTCTCCTGGCCACATCAGCCATACTGTCTGTTTCAAGTCACTGAATTCTGGAGTCACTTGTCACATGGCAAGAGATGTCACAAAGGTCCCCATTTAACAGATGGAGGAGGAGCTCCATAGACACAACCAGTAAGAGTCGGAGCTGAGTCAGCCTGCTTCCCAAGTTACTAGTACTCCACCCCAGCTGGGCCTGGTAGGGCTGGGGGATGCCTGAGGCTCCCACTTTTCTGCCATAGGATTAGAGCACCACCCTTGGAAGGACTGTAACTCAGCTGCTCCTAAAGACAGGGAGTAGCCCTCTTGGGCAGCTATCACAGTTGCCCCTGGGCTGAGCTTGGCAGGGATCTTTAGGGGCATGTACACTGCCAGGATCGGGGGACTCTAGTGGCAAACCTGACTTGATCACAGGCCCCCATAAACCTTTGAGATAGCAGCCCCTGCCTCAAGCCTTGTTCCCTAAGTGACTTTCTCCTGGCCCACCCGTTGGTGCTTCAAACATAGCCCATTCTACCATGGACCTGGTTTGGGCCTCTGAGCTCAGGCTGGCAAAGGCCCAGACCCTCCTGTGGAGGGGAACCCAGCCACAAGGTACACACCATTGCACCATCTGTTTGGTAAACATAGGGACATAAGGAAAGATCCCTACATGAGGGCTGGGGAGCTGCTATCAGAGTGGGCGCCTCAGTAAGGTGAGGATGAGGGTCAGAGGAAGCCCAGTGCTCAGCCTGCCTTGACTCTCCCAGCCCGTCTGGGGACCCAGGAGGGTATCCACCATCATTGAAGGGGCTGCAGACTGATTGCGGCCAGCGTGTCTTTTTGCCCACCTGGCTGGGCTTCCTTTGATGGTCTGTGCACTGCTGGGACTCCACTGCCCACAGGACATGGTGGACACTTGAGAACACTGTGCCACATGCATGGCACGGACATGGACAGGTGTACCTGTCTGGCCTAGACCACTGCCCACCACTGTTTCCTGGGCTCTTCTACACAAGGCATGGGACTGGGCTCAGATTTGGCAGCGATCTAAGGGGCAGGCACACTGGATGGGGGTGGCAGGCAGCTGCTCCCACAAATAGTAGAGTCCAATTTTATCTCATTTGACATCAAATGGCTTTAGTGGCTCAACTGAACAGAATGTAGTGGGAGGAAGGGACGCTGACTTTGTAAAAGGCGATGTGTTTACTCCACATGGCCACTTGTCGTGGGGACCTGGTTGTGTGGAAATGCCCCAGGCAAGGGTCTCTCAGTGACTGCTGGCGCCACCCAGCAAACATAGGAGTGTTATCCAGTGCCCCTCTCTCCACTGCCAAGAACATCACGTGACTAGATCCCTACTGTCTGGTCCCTGCTCCTCAGCAAAATGGCTGTTTGGCACTGACTTTCAGGATAGCCTGACATACTGCCCTAGGAATTAGAACAGTGATGTCCTGAAGACTGTGGCTGGTGGGATGAAGGGGCTCTGGACTTGGACCCAGTGGTCAGGAAGGAAGCAGCCCCAAAGTAAGCAGGAAAAGAGTCACATGAGATGTGAGCAGGGGGCAGGGCAGCAACACAGAGCAGGGTGTCAGGGGGGCAGCTGAGTGACAGTTGTGGGCACAGAGTACAGAATGCCAGGCTACATCCTGCCATGGGCATCTGAGTATATGCCCAGTGGGAGGTTCACTGGGGAGAGGCCCCATCTGCTGTTCCTGTGAGGCTCATGCATCGAAAAGCTTGGTCCCCAGCTGGTGGCACTACTGAGGGTTGCCTGTGTCATGACAATACTAACAATAGGTTGAGTTGGTTACTAGGAGGTGGGCCTGGAGAAAGTGAACAGGGTGTGTTTTTGAGAGGTATACATTGTTCTTGGCCCCTCCCCTCCTTCTGCTTCCTGTCTCCCATGATGGGAGAAGCTTCCCCTACCCTTCCCACCCAGTCCCCACCACAGTGTTCTGTAGTACACTCTCAGGTCCACAGAAATGGAGCCAGGGGACAGTGGCCAGAGCCTCTGAAACCATGAGCCAGTTGTTTCAAGTGTTCTGTCATGGCATCAGGAAGTGATGGGCACCATGTGACTCAGGTTGCCTCACATGACAGGGTAGAAAGTGGCCCTCTAGGTCCCTTCTACCCATTAGGGTAGAAGAGGTGTTGACTCGCTGATTTCCTGGGTTCTGTGGAGAGCCCGGCATGGCCATCTGCCCCTTCCATTCCTATATCCATAATCCATAGCCTTCCTGCCTTGGGCTCCAGGCTAAGCAGAGGCTGTGGCGGGCAGCCCTGCAGCATCTGGGGTGGGAGGGATGGTGGGGGAAACGTAGCAGACTCTTGAGTCATGAACTGGTTAAAAGTCCAGATACGCTGTGCAC